CCATCTCAAAGTTCTCATCTTCTTCTTCTTCTTCTCCTTCTTTTTCTTTATTATTGTTATTATTATTCTTACTATTATTATTAGTATTACTACTACTATTATTATTATTATTGTTATTATTGTTATTATTATTATTGTTGTTGTTATTATTATTATTGTTGTTGTTGTTGTTATTATTATTATTGTTGTATTATTATATTTATAATTTGTACAATTAACCTCCCTGTAGTTCGACCCCGGTCTTACCGGGTTATTTATTACTTCGACACTCCTACACTTGGGAGAAGACAACAATCTTTTCATCGTTTCAGAAACAAATTCACACTACCTCCAAAATCAAGTAAGGCTCTTTCAATTTTATGTTCTCCAATAAAGCAAGAAATTATAGGATAACTAGGGTTTTTATATTTCAAAGCATTATTATTCTGAAAAATAGCACTTACTTGTTTTGCTAAAAAGACTTTCTTTTTCACATTTAGTTTTCTCTTCACAATACACAAATCTTTCAAAAATTTAGCATAAGAAGGAACCTGTTTAATAGCATTCAGCAAAGGTATATTGATCCTTACCTGTTTGAAAGTTTCAAAGATTTTAAAATTGTGATTGACTTTTCTTTGTTTAGGCATGGCATGAGGAAATAGAAGTGCTGACAGGGAATTAGTCTTTTCTTTGCAATATTCAGATTCGACCCCTTCCTTACCCTCAGAAATTGACTCATCATCCCTTACAAGGTTCAAGAGTGGATTTTTCAATAACATTACCACTACGAAGAGTAATGATTGATTTGACTTGATCCACGTATTGAATTTTAGAACTACTTGCATTTGTATTATATTGCCCTCTAGAATTTTATTATGGTTGAGATGGAAACTTGTCTTTCTCTTGGCAATTGAGAGCAAATGTCAATTTTGCTAAAGTATCTTTAAAATCTATCATGCTTTTGAGCAAGTTGAGTATTGATTGTCTCTTACTTTTCAATGAATGCATGCAATGTTTCCTTAAGATTTCTTTTAGGAGGTGAAGTGTAAGGAGCTGTATGCATAAGAATTTTGGAAATTATGGTGTACTTAAAACGATGGTTGTGAAGTTTGTACATTATTATTATCACTCTTCCAATTGAAATTTGGGTGACTTCTCCAACTAGAGTGTATATTTGCGAGTATGGATAATGATTAGGCCTTTGAAAATTGTTTAAAACATGAGTTTATTCATGTAAATATTTCTTAAAAGAAGACATGTATAGCTAACCTTAATAATAATAATGTAAAATAGTTATTCATGACTTTTATATTTTTTATTATATTTGAAATTTTTCTGATTCAACTGGTAATATTACTGGCTGTGAACTAGTTTCTTCTATAGCTTCACGTTCTCATCTGCCAGTCGAGGTACAAACATACATCAAAGCCCAGCTACTACACCTAGCAATCTTTACCGACGACGCATACATAACTTGAACCAGCCTTTCTTTTGGTCAATATCCCATTAGACAGTCTTTTGGCATTTTAGCCACCCCTCTCTCCCTATATATATATATATATATATTCTCTATTCCGGATAAGAGGGTGTTTAATATTATTATTTTTATTATACAAGTGAATTGCATTAAAAAGAAAAGGAAGAAATAGAAACATCTTTAGCAAGAAAAACATGAATGGCCATTCTCCAAATGCATGGGAAGGTAGTCGGGTCATGATTATCGGTTCAGTGGGGTTCATTGGCGGGTTCATAGCCGAAGCTAGCCTCGAATGTGGCCACCCCGCTTACCTTCTGATCCGGCCTGAACTGGCTGCCCTTTCTAAGGCGTCCACCATCAAGTCTCTCCAAGACGGGGGAGCTACCACCATATACGTAACCAACGCATATATTGTGGCCTTTTTTATTTTTACTTGGTCTTTATTTTAATGCACACACAGCCACAGGTGTAATTGATGTTCATGTGTGTGTGTGTGTGTTGTGTATGACTCGGGTGATTGTGATATCAGGGCTCTATCAAAGATCAGGATTTAATGGAGAAGGTGATTAGAGAACATAATATTGAAATTGTGATATCAGCTGTTGGTGGTGCAAGCATAGCAGACCAAGTCAAGCTTGTTAATGCCATCAAGGCAGCTGGTACTGCAAAGGTGATGTCTAGACTCTCGAGTATGTTACTCGACTAGTTACAATGGGCAGATGTTTTCAAAGTTACACGTGCCAACAAACGAACACTATTGCCCGTCGTCTATATATTTTGTGTGTGTCCTTTTATATGCATTCCCAGACATCTGAAATTAAAGGAAACTCGCCCCACGTATTTGGGAAGCCATAGATTTGAGCCTCTCTTCTTCTTCTTCTTTTTTCTGGCATAAACTCTCTCTCTTATAATTGCAAGCGTAGCATCAACCAGTATTAATCGTTCCCATAATCTTCGTTTTAATAACAGATTGGCAATCAACGTACACACATATTAAAGGTTGTTAGTTTGACATAGGATCTGTTTGGTCTTAATATACGCCCACTGCGGGGGATTACTTCCATTTCAGTAGGTATTTTATTTTTTTATTTAAAATGAAATGTTTTTTTTTTTAGGATTGTACTGTTTCACAGCTATATATTCAACAAATATAATTTGAATTTAAGATAAATTAATTATAAATTATACAATATAAATATAATATCAAACAAATATAATTTTAAATTTTAAAATATTTATAAATGGTCAAAATTAAATAATTTTTAACTTAAAATAATTCAACTTAAATAAAATATCAAAATATTATGAAAGTAAATTATTTTAACACAAATATTTTAAATATAAAGTTAGGTCAATGTTATCAAAGTTAATAGGATTTAAAGTATCTCTTATTTTGCTTAAATTTTTATAAAGTATAAATAGGAAAAAAACAACATGAATATAAATCATATATATTAGTTATAAGTCTAATTTTAAAATATTAATATAATTGTCCATGAAAATAGTAATAATAATTTTTAATATTATTATTAATATCGTTATTATTGAAAATAGTAATAAAAAAAAGCTTTTTATAATTGAGTGGTTTAATTAATTCAAATAAATTAATTTTAATTTAATTTAATGGCTTTTCAAAACTGGAACAGAACATGTGGAATAAAATTGAAACATTCCAACTGAAACTTAGCTAAAAAATCTGCAATAAGATTTAAAATAAGATAAAAATTATCCTGTTTTATTTCATTTTTTGAATTAATATAAAATATTTTGGTCATTTCATAAAAAAAACAAAATACAATTAACAACCTTGAGCACAACCTTTAAATGATTATAAGAGAATCAAGGATAGACATGCTCTTTTGATGAGGAAATAAAATGTCTGCGCGCAGAGATTTTTGCCATCTGAGTTTGGCCATGACATAGACAGAGCTGATCCAGTGGAGCCAGGGCTTACCATGTGCAAAGAAAACAGACAAGTTAGACGTTACATTGAAGAAGCTGGGATTCCGTACACTTACAATTGCTGCAACTCCATAGCTGCCTGGCCTTACCATGATAATACTCACCCTGCTGATGTTCCTCCACCATTGGATCGGCTCAAATCTACAGTGAGGGAACAGTTAAAGGTGCATCCTAACGGCTATATATTCTGTTGATTTTATTTTTGTCAAGGAATATGATTCGAATGATTAATATGGACTTATAATTTACATCATATTTGTTGCCGGTTCTGATATCGGAAAATTCACATCGATTAATGATAATTTAACACTCGACAAAACTGTTCATTTTAGACCTCCAAGCATCTGCTAAGAACTAATGAGCTTGCCTCTTTATGGGAAGAGAAGCTTGGATACAAGCTGCCCAGAGCCACCATCACAGAAGATGATCTACTTGCTGCTGCTAGAGGTTGGTTTTAAATATAACTGCCAGTATTGTCTTCTGGGATAAACTTGTTTTTAAAGATCATTTTAAGAGGAAAACCAGAGTCAAATATCCATTTATCACGCACGTCCCAGTTGTTTTCACAGCCAGTTTTCATGAATGCAGAGATGAGCATTCCACACAGCATAGTTGCTGCCATCACTCACGACATTTTAATAAACAGCTGCCAAATAAACTACAGCATGGATCAGCCAACTGATGTTGAGGTGTGCTCCCTCTATCCAGAGTTGCTATTTAGAACCGTTGATGAATGCTTCAATGATTTTGCCGTAAAGTTGATCAGCAATCCAAAACTCGTTAACAAGCCAGCGAACAAGAATGGCACCATGATGCCAAATCCTAAACCAGAAGCTTTATTTATTACAGTATGATATTCGGGAGAACATATCCCTTTCATTCTCGTGTTTTTATGTTTGCGACGGAAAATCTATTGATATATTCTTCCTACCTAGGATAGGGAGATGCTATCAAATCTAGCAAAACCTGTTTCTAGCAGAATTTTGTTTGTATGTTATGAGGGACGGTGCTGCGTTAGCAATAATACTACATTTTTCTAGAACTATTCGGCTTTCTAAACAGTTCAGCCTACGAAAAAGTGGTGAACCTTCACATGGGCATACATCAAATTGTTTATAAAGACAAGTCATGTCCCTGTCGTCTGCAAATAACGTGACAGGCAACCCCAGCACTTGCTGATGAGATAAACATTTCTAATAGACTTACGGCATTAATATGGAGGACACTGGGTAACAAATTGGTTTAATGCATACACTAAAGATGTCAAGCAGCAGCTGATAGTACAGATTAATCAAACAAAACACACTCTTGTGCTTAATGCTCCAAAATCGACTTCTAAATTTGACAGTAGAGTAAATTAAAGACTAGACTTCAGGTCTTAGAAAGAATGCCTGATGGCTCGTCTTTGGCAGTTTTGTATAATAAACTTGCATAGTTGGGTGATCTCATTTTCTGACGTCCCTAGAGAGGAAAGCAGGTTTTCTTTTTTTCACTTGCTTCTCGCAGTATAGGTCAAAGGTGCCATCAATATGATGCGGATTCTCAAACTATCACTAGTAAGGTAACATGCAAACCTTGCCCATGAAATCAAAGTACCAAACAGTATTTACATTACAACTTAGAAGAGTATTTCAAGCATCCACTGCCAAAAGAAAATATACACAGAAATAAGTTCTTAAATATTTAGTGGGTATATGTGGCACGGCAAATACTTTTCAGCATCTTGCACCAATAAAAACAAACTATTTACATTTTTTTTCATGGGGAAAAAAAAAGGAAAGGAAAGGTGCTAGCAACCGTGTTCTCTACATGTCCTAATGCACAATTATGTTAATTTGAACAGGCGGAACGCACAGAAGTAAAAGTTCTGGTCAGCTGTAAAAAGAACTTCCCTGCTAAAGCTGTTATACCTTATCTGCACACTCCAATTCATCATCCATATTACAAAACGCTGGAAGCTAAACATCATATACAGATAAGCGCTCCTCAACAGAGACACGACAAATTGGACATTTTTTACACCTCTCACAGCAGGTGCTGCAATGCATTTAATAATCCATCAGCATTACAGTAAGGGAGGGGAGAAGAAAATTGAACTCCATATGTTAGCAGACATCAAGATAGAAACCATACCTGCAAAGGATACGATGTCTACAAGGAAGCAGAACCACACTGATCTCTCCCTCAAAGCACACCCTGCATAAAACTTTTTCCTGACCAGTACAACAAAACAACATTTAGATATCTCACGTAACAGACAACATACTAATGCAAATTCAAGTAACAGACTATCTCAAGCAAACTCCCATAATTTACAGACAGCAGACACCAGGATCTTTGGCAATGCAAGAAGCTTTTTCATACTTTATTTCAGACAATTATGGTGTTTGATACACAGATGCTCCTTTGAAGATCTACGCTTAAGAAATATTCATTGGAGATCTAAATTCCAAGATATCACGTGCAATAGGATGTATTTCTGTTTAATAACTAAGTGGAGCTTGGCACTAAAATTTTGCATGATACAGATGTTTTTTTCATGTATGTATAATGTTTTGACAGTATTGTTGCAATTATTGTAATCCAACAAGTATAATGCAATTGGCAAACTGGAGACAGAATTTCATGTTCCAGATTAAAATAACTTTCATTTAGATAATCAATTTCAGTTAAACCAAAAGGAATTCTGTTTAGGAAAACAAAAGTTTTCAAAACAGGTAGCTTAAATTGATGCATTTAATATTGCCATCATCTTCAGCATAACATCCATGTTCAGAATAACTATATGAAACGCTTCAGTGAGATTAATTTATAAACATAAACCACATATTCTTCTCTATATTTGTCTCAAATTACAAGAATACACATACCTGCTTGCACTAAGGAACAGTACATGTTTCTTTCAGGCTCCTCTTCAACTTTTATTTGAGGACTAACTAATGTTTACTAGGATATTATGCCAAAATTCAGAATTACTGCATTACCCATTTTGAAATAATTTTAGTTCATCAATAAACCTAAAAAATTGACATAGATTTACATGTTACAATTTTCAAACCTTGGGTAAAACATGAATTCAACTGATCCACAAGGCAGAACTAAGTAATGGAACTAAGATTGTTCAAAATCATAGAATAAGGGTCCTGCCCTAAAAATGAAATGAGTGATGGTTCCCAAATAATAGAAATTATAGTATTCCTGTGTTCAGACCATGTCCCTTGATTATGAAACTATAAGTAAAGCATTGGGGTATTACATTTTGAAGTCTTTCAAACTCCTGCTGGCTGTATTTGGTGATTTCTGTCTGCTCACCAAGAGCTGCTTGAAGCCTCCATACCTGAAATGTAAGAGAATCATGCAAGAATGCAAAGGTGGACTATAAAGGGTCAAAATCAATGTTTGCATTGGCCAATAAAAATCCATGGTTGGATCCAGGAGTATAAAGAGAGCGGGAGAGTATGCTTATATATAAAAGTGAAACCTTGTCTTTGCAACAAATAGAATACAAAGAAAAACAATGACTTTATTACCTCCTCAGCAAGATCCTTTTTAGGCATTTTCTTCACTATCTCAGGAGGATAACCACAGAAAGTATTATAACTACACATCAATGAACCAAATGTACAAAGATCAGAAACGAGCACCAATTTGTAACTTTTTATGAATTATATAATAACTTAAAAGATTTAATTCAACAGCTAAAGCACCAAAGTAACCCACTGAAATGGAGAGGGAGGGGGAGAGAATATAACACTTGTGGAGAAAATTCAAAAAAGAAAAATTGAGGATGCTTGATAATTGGGATTTGAGGATATCTGGTGTCAACCAAGACAAGTAAAGCAGTAGTGATGCCACCTGTAAAATTAATTGCATACATACTATTGAATCGAGGTTGACTGAGCTCTTGACTACAATTTCAGGAATGGGTAGGTCAAGGCAATACACCCAAGCCAGAATACCTACAACCATAACTCACTCCACACCTGACCTGATCAGGTCAAGTCAAGCGGAGGGCTTTGTCTACTCATTAGGTACCCACCAAGTATCCAACCCGATTCCTAAAAAAAAATCATTATTTGAAATCACATTAAATCATATCCTAAACAAATAAAGCAAAGGGTACAAGTTGGGTGATGAGTCAGGTGAAATCCACATCCATTCCAGCACCCAGCCCTAGTAAAACCAGTTGGGTTTCACCTGCACCTGGTTTGACACTGGTCAAACTGTGTAAAAACCTGACCCAACAGCTTTGAGTAACACTGGATACCTGAGGGAAGTTGCCATTCCTGCTTCTATTGCTTTTTTCCCCCACCATATGCAACTTTCATTTCATGATTCTCCATACTTCTAAACATTAAACACATCTAGCAGTTCTCCTAAACAATTTTCATATTGCAGTCCACCAGTCAAATTTAAACAGGTTTACAGTTTCCAAGATTGAAACAAGCAAAATACAGTTTCAATGATCTCAATCCTATTCTTATGTCCATATCTTTCTTTGACCTCACAAAAGGATATGTCATCCAACATGACACATGCTCAAAAAAGAAAGAAATATTTTAGCAGTTTATGAACCATTATAAAATGTACGGAAATAGATAATATACTAACCTCGCATCACCCATGTGGTACAATCGGGCCTGTTCCTCTTGACTTCCCTCATCAATTGACCACCATCCCAGTAGCCTGTATCAAACAAATTGGGAGATACAGAAGGTTATTCTGTTAGTAATCATACCACATCAAATACTTCCGCTGGCTAAGTGGAATCATGACCTTTCCTAACAGGTTAGGCTTCTGATGGAAAGTTGGTGATCACCTGGAACCATGGTGCAAGAACCCCAAGCAGTCATGAGCTCTTGCGGAAAATGTAAAATATCTTCCAGTGCCAGCTTCACTCCGTAATAAAAGAACAAGCTTCTCTGCCAACTTAGAAGCAGCAAATAATACACCAGCACCTTGAAGCAGGAAAAGCGGAGAGAAAAGAACCAGAAGTGGTATATTTCTAGCACCAGCAGGTGTTCCCTGAATTAAAAAGCCATTATCTATTAATAAGAGAATCCCATCCAGCAGGCATGAATAAAAGTCAATTATGCAAGTACCTCTAAACGCATACAAAGGAGAACTTGGAAACCAATTAAGGGAATTTTCATGATATGGCCACCAATATCTTGTAGACCACACATTCTGTCCTGGTGTTGATTCTCCTCTGGAGAAACCATTAAGCCACCATTCCAGTCAAGATATCTAATCGTCATTGAAGATGAAGTACCTTCTCTTGTCCGAGAATTTCTATGGATCACTGGATTAGACCATTTAGTACAGACAAGAAAGGCAAAGCACTCAGCAATGCTGCAGAAAAAATGTTCAGATTTATCATTTCGTTGTGGCACTAAAACCTTGAACGTACATCCAGCTTTATTATGTCTGAACCATGAAGCAGTACTGAAAAACAGCAATTAGAAAGAAAGAATCAATGCAACCTTACCTAAAGTTTATGAACAAGTCCCACCAGCCAAGTGCACCCACATCACCTGCAATATTTTAAGAGAACCAGAAACCAGTCATCATTTTGATATAAGCCATTACATGTAATGATTCAGTATAGATAGGATCACCCACATTATACAAAAGGACAAGTTTAGTTCACATTGTGGTCCATGGAAAAGAAAAGTGAATTAATTTCCACTATTCAGGACTGCTCAGGAATGACCCCCCTCCCATAAGTGAGTGTGAAATTATACTAGACTAGACTAAGAAAGACAGCACAGCATTACTTGAAGAATGCGTGCACAACCTACAAAGTATCAATAAGAAAATTGAAAATAAGCAATTTAGTTTCTCTCTACAGTGTAGTCACATATTGTTATATAACTGACATTCTGTAGCCCAGCAAATGACCACCACCATTAAAGACCTGAAAAAAATATGTATTTCACAAGCAATGCAAAATTTTGATTTTTAAGTTATGTTTGAATGTGCTTGTCCATATATTTAGCATTCTTGAAGAACCATAAAATTCATATCATTGAAAGGAACCTTCCACCCTGTCAAGCCACTTAATTCAATTGCAAATTTATTATGAAAAGCGATCCCCAATATAGCAGGAATGGGAACAAATAAGGGATGCCAGTAAGGAAGTGTTGGGATCCAATGAAGGGAGGAATGCATGTCTTATCCGCAGCAGAACACAATTTTAATGAAATGTAAAAGCATGTACTTCACAAGCAGTGTAAAATGTTGATTTTAAGATAAGTTTCAAAGGACAACAGCTTGTCTATATGCTCAGCATTCTATACAACTATAAAATTCCAATCATTGTAATGAACCTTCAACCCTATCTAGCAACTTAATTTGGAATGCTAATTTACAATGAATGATGATCCAATGACATTTTCACCTGATAAATTATCTTTTTTCATGAAGGGGGGGGGGGGGGACTCCATGATGGATACACATAACTTTCAGAGCACATAAAAAGGATCCAAGCTAATGGATCATGTATCTTGTTGTCACTATAGCATTTTAAGAATAGAGTTTTAGAATCTGAAAATTTATCTAATACAGTCCCACTGCTCCATATCTCTTCCCCAAAAACCTTCATGCACTAAACATTCATTCCTCTACAAACCGTAAATTACCCTAGTGACCCCAACAGCTCCAAATGCCAACTCCAATTCATTAAGCAGTCTTTGCCTGTTCCAGAGGAAGTTAGATTGTGTTTTCTCAGGCAATGGCTTTTAAATAATTAATCACAATTACTTATGGAACAAAAAGAAAGATTTTTTTATGTCTAATTACTCCATTCTCATTCCACATTAAGAGAACTTTCATAAAACAATAATAGAAATTTGAGAAGAGAATAAGACCATCTGAAAAGATGAAATTATAAATGTGGATTCTGGAATTGAAACTAGATAGCTGGGAAAAAAATCCCCAATTAATTTGAATGCACCAATGCAATTGTATTTAAAAATCATGTGAAGTTAAGAAAGATTACCGCCCAGCTTTAGAAGGGTAAAGACTGTAGCAGCCACAAAGAAAACCATAGAAATTGCAACCCAGAAGTGCTACAAAAGTAGAATGGAAGTTCATTAATCCTTGAATAAATTCATATACAACCTAAACCATCATATGAATTAAAAACCAACAAGCTTGAAAATGCCAAATTTGTAATAATGGCACCTGGATCTTAGGTAACATAAAAAAAAAAGCATGATCTTGCAAATGTCGTATGTGATATTTCTACATGAAAATAGTGTCTATAGCAAGATACTCATTTTGGAATTATCCAAAACCACGAAATACAAAGACATCTCTCTCTCAGAAACAACAAATCATAATTTTCAAGATACTGCAAAAATTACAGCCATGAAACTTTATTTACTTTCAATAAATTAATTGAGTCCTTGAGGTATAAACTGTACTGTATCAATGTGTTTGTTAACAATTTCAAATAACTACTCTCTGTTAAGGAAGTTATTATGCTTGTTAACAATTTCAAGCAAGGGATACATAAATACATTAGATGTTGATAAATTAGTTCCAAGCCACAGACAAAATACTAGACTATTGCATGCTTTGAACAGCTCTCCAAGTTAGTACAATGACAAACTTACCGGCAATGTTTCCCATATCGCTTCATCACTAATGCTTTCTTCTTCTCCTGGCATAAGAGCCTTACACATTCTGTAGAAGAAATGAAACTCCGTTAACAATAGTACAGAATACAATAGTAATTACCAATTGGGAAGAAAACTTGGATATGGGAGGAGGAAGGGAGGCTAGCTGAGGTGTCATGTGTAATTTGGAAAAACAGCAATGATGTTACAGTAATTGCCAGTGGAAAATTGATAGCAAACATATTGTGAACAGAACTTAAATTTAGTTGAAAATTTTGGACGTGATCCTTTATATAACATTTGGTATAATTATCTTTTCGTATTCTAAAGAGGTTGAACCCTTCGGAAGAATATGTATTTAGTGTAAACAGAACAATTAAGGCAAGCTTAGGGCAAGTTGTGCTCATTTAAGCCACTGGCGTTCTATCTCTCCAACAAGAATTAAGGAAAAGTTACAAGGTGGCCACCACTATAAAGTATTTTTTTCTAACAATGGAAATGACTTAGAACTAGCATGTTAAGGAAGAACAAGCATGTCCTGTTACAAAGGTTCTCCGTGCCAATATGCAGCATGCAAAAATAGTATGTGCTGTTAACTGCGTATCTGTAAGGTAAATTACTGAGACTGATTGACATGCAAAAGGAAATACCTGAAATTGTCAATTAGAATAATTACTTCAAATGCCAACAATGGAATAAAGACAATCTTCAAGTTTACAGCAGCAATATGATAAACTGCAAGAGAAGCATTAAGAAAGTTTGAAGGTCCAAGCATTTAAATGATTATAAAACAACAAACAGAATAACTAGGAGACTTGAAAAGGATGTTATCACTTGTTAATCCTCAACAGCATAAGAATAGTAGAAGGGGTTTAGTGTATACCATAAACACTTTCGAGATATATACAAAGAAGCAGTTCAAATGCAATAAGCAATGGTGTTGCCACAACTGCATGGCATGGCGCCCACTGTCCAAGAAAGAAAATCTCAACACTTTATATCCACAAATAAAGACTGCTTTAAATCTCATGGACACAAAATAAAAGAAGGAAATATTACATGGCGATTACGTGGAACTGATGGAGCAGGTAATGAAAATCTTCCTCGAGCAACAACTACATGGAATGTCCAGAGAGGGAAGAAAATTAACCTGAAAATAGAAGCCAATACATATACATTATCCATTTTTCAGGCTTCAACAAGCACAACATTAAATACTAGGCGTCTAAATCACAACATAGTAGGAAGGACTTGAGATGCAAGCATGTTTAAGGGGAAAAAAAGGAACCCATAGATAGCCTTATTAAGGGCAGACTGCTAAGAAAAGAAAATTTTCCCATTCCCCAACCCACGGCATTCCATTTCATTACCTTATATCATAGCACGCATCTTCTCCAACTAAATTTACTACAACTTAACTGAATAAAAGCACAAAATCTGGACATCCAACCATTAAACCTGCTTTAGATTAGCATAGATTTTCTAACGCCTCTTTGTTTCATTGCTTCAACAACTGTTAGCAATTTCAAGTTTTGCACCCATTCCAACAGAACCGAGAAACCCCCCTGCCATGATAGAGACTTCCGAGAACAATAGACAATACAAAACAAAAAAAAAAAAAAGCATCGTATTTTCAAAATCACGAGACAGTAAAGAGAAAGAAGGGCCCCTTGTAAATAATACAAAATAAAACCACAGAAGATGATATATCCTCATCAGTTGGAGATTTTCTATGTTAATAACCATGATGGATGCCACAGTCGGACTCGGAGTCATAAAATACATCAATTCGAAAAATAGCAATTTACCCCCAAATGGTTGGGTACACCACTGGTAAGAACAAAGCTGAATGCCTCTGTTGTTGTTCTTTTTTACTTTTAAAGGAGAAAAAAAAAAGACTTGGGAAATTCAACTTCCCACAAAACTATAACATGTAAGCAATTCAAGTATGCATTCTCCAAAGAAACTTGTGAAATTCGTAGAATCTATCGTACCAATTACAGAAAAATCTTCATTCAATTCGAAAATCCATATATCAATTCATGCACAAAACTGATAAGAAGAAGAAGAAAACAGACCACCAAGAATAGGAGACGACGTGATCAAGCTTGAGGACGAGCAAGAGAGTGAAAGAGAAGAGAAGACAGTGTGCCGCTAGTGCCTGTACTGATTTCAATACTCTTCTCCAGTTCATCTTCTTCGCTCTCTCTCTTTCTGGTTTTTCTTTTTTGCGTTTGTGGGCTGCGGAATTGAATTCCTTTTTTTAGTTATATTATTATTATGAAGGGAGAAGGTTTCCTTCGGGTTTCAATGGGGCGATATTGAAGAACACCAATACCGATCCCTTTTTCCTTTTCTTTTATTATTCCCTCTCCCTTTTCTGTCTCTCTTTGTTTTCACGGCAAAGTAACGCTAACATAATAGTTGTCAGAATGACCCGTATTGATCCGGTTAAGAAATTGAATTTCAAGTTATGTAAGTTGATTCAAATTAATATAAAAAAATTAAAATAAATATTTAAAATTTTAATATTTTATATAAAAAATTAAAATACAATCTATATAAATATAGAATTAATATGCTATAAATAATAAATTTTAAAAAATTATTTTAAAATTTTTTTATTTTATATTAAAAAATACTATGTTAATATGATATCCTTTTAAATTAAAGCATTTAAACTAAAAAAAATTATCATATGTTGAAAAAATATAATTTTTTTTAAACATAAAATATATATACTAAAAGATTTTAAATTTCACATTGAAAAATAATTTTTTTTTGTAAACACAGAATATACATATATTATAGCGTTTCAAATCTTACATTAAAAAAATAAAATATTCTTCTAGTATTAATATAATGAACTTTGAAAAGGGTTAATAACTAACTAAAAATATATATAAAAAAAATATCTGGTTAGGAGAAAAAACACATTAAAAAAAAAAGATCTTAACCAGTTTTTGTCGAGTTAACCGAGTTTTGCCAGGTTTTTGCTCATCCTAGTTTTTTACCTTACCCAGACTCGTTTAGCCATAAGGTCGACTAGGTTTCTGGTCAACCTACCGGATTAGTTTGGATTTAATAACTACGGCTAACATTTAGAATATTTTTCAATTTTTTTATTAAGTTTGATTTAAAATTTTGAAATTTGTTGGTAGAGAAGACTAGATAATTTATTCCCCCTTACATTTATCAATTTTATGTTCTTACAAAGAAAATAATTTTAATTGATTAGAAATTAATTTGATATGATCTAGTTAATTTGACAAGTTCAAAAATAATATGTATAACTAGAAAAAAAATAGTTTAACTAAAAAAAAATCAATACATCTTTTTTTATATAAATTTTGAGACAATAGAATATTAGATTAACCTTGGTTAAACCAAGTTAACATGTAAAATATATGTTATAGGTTATAAGATCATAATAATCTCATAGAAAACAAATCAAAATATATATTAAAGCCAAGATTTAATTTAACTTAGTGTTAAAAAATATAATTGAACAAGATCAATTAAAAAAGAAAAATAAAAAAACCTAAGTCAACTTTGTTTAACCTATCAAACTTAAATCATAAAATTGAAATAACTCAATAGAAGCAAATCAAAATAAATTATGAAACTCAATTCACAATCTATAGAAAATTGAAGGAAGAAATTGAAAAAAAATAAAAAAACAACTCAAATCAACCCAATTTAATACGCCAAATCCTTAACTTGGATCATGAGAATGATATAATCTCATAAAAAGTAAATCAAAACAAAATTATAATTCATAATTCTCAATCAACCTAAATGGTGAATGATAAAACTAAAAAAAAAAAAGTCAATTACAAAAAAAGACCTAGAAAAACTTGAGTTAACCGAGTTAATCCGCAAAACTCTTAACTTGAGCAATGAGACTAAAATAATCTTATAAAAGATAACTTTAATAAATCTAATGTTAAAAGACAAAAAAAAAAAAAGAAGCAAAGTCTATTATGATGAAAAGGAGAGGAATAATGATTTCTTATCCCTAATTAGTTTATAATAATAATAATAATAATAATAATAATAATAATAAACTAATTCATGTAGAGAAAATATTGTAGTTGCCAATACTATTCATTCTTTCCTAAATCATTATTGATTGTAATGGGCAAAAATTTCAATTTGGTCTTTAAATTTTTTTTGGCACAATATAGGCCTTTCAAACCCAAATTAGCACCCAATTGATTTTTTTTTTTGGAAGGAAAGGCTTGATTAAAAGTCAAAGAAACAAAGTGAAAATGATAGGTAAAATAGATGGTGGCTTTGAATTTTATATAAAAAATTAATTTCATCCCCCATTTTTTTAGGTTTATAGGTTTCGGTCCTTTTAGTTGTTCAAAATTAAATTTTGGTACAAAAGTTTATTTTTCTTTTTTTTTAATTTTTTTAAGAAGAGAGATAAGACACCAAATTCTGGCTTAAAGAGAAAAAATCATTGTTGATGATGATTCTAGCCACCAAAAAGGTCGAAATTGGTGTCAGTAAGTTTTATTTTATAAGGATACTTTTACCTAGGTGTTTTTTTCCTTCTCCTTGCCTTAGAAGACAGATCTAACCGCTAGAACATTTTATTATTTGGGTTGATTTAAATTTTTTACAATGTTTCTCGGTTTTTTTAGTCATGAATAGATTTTTCAAGGTGCTTTAAATGTTTCTCTGGATGTTTTGGGTCAAAAATAAGTTGAGAAATAGTTTTTCTGTTGTCACCTATGTAGGTTGTCTACCTTTCTTTCTTAAAAATAAGGTTGGGCTGAGGTGGAAGGCCCATGGGCTTAGGTTGTTGTTTTGTAAATGCCTAAGCCCATGCGACTAGGCTTCTTTTGGTTTTTATTTCTGCTATTTTATATTTGGGTTAAAAAATTAAAAAAAAATTTATTGAATCTAATTGAGTTTATAAGTCAAGTTGTAGTTTTAACAAGTTAATTTGCAATATTCAGACTATTGTTCTATATATATATATATATATATATTAATGCTTTTATTGTCCCTTAATTTAAAGGAAAAAAATGCAATCTCATCATTTGTTATTACTGATGTACTTGTACTATCTCAACACCGTATTCCTATCACGATTCTTTTATTTCTAAAATAAATATTTGATGTAAAACATTATTAAATTCGATGACGTGCATGACTTGTTTCATAAGTTTATTTTGTTGCTTCAAGTTCACTTCGTGTTTTTAAGTAAATGATATTGTTTATTGATTTTTTTTTTCAAAATTATGTTAATTCAGGTTTAAGCTCTTCAAATTAGTTTTTTCAAGATTATTCTCATGAATTTCACAAGTCAACTCATGTTGCCATATATGTTAAATAAAAAAATCTAATTCATGATTAAAATCTTTTTTTTTAAGACATGTCACCAATATTTTTTTTGTTTTTTAAAGTTTTACACCTTTTTTGCTTTGATTAGTAGGTTAGTAATATCTATGAATGTTTGGAAAGAGTTAATTACTAGTTAGGTGCCTGCACTATGCCATGGTGCCTGCACTATGCCATGAGTTCACTTTTTATTTTTATAAAAAATATCATAAAAATTTATAATATAAATAATAATATTTTTTAATATTAATAATAATATTTTTTGAAATTTATTAATTATTTTATTAATAATAATAAAAATAATAACATTTATAATATAAATGATGCTAGTTTTAATATTAATACTTTCAATTATAATAAAAATAATTATATTTAAAATATAAATAACTATATTTAGAAATCTAAAACCCAAAAAGCTTGAGTCCTGACTCAAGACCTATTAAGCTAAGGTCTAGATATTAAACTAAACACAATTGGATTCTAATACAACTCCTTAGTAAATTGGGTCTAGATGAAAGACCAAAGGGATTGGTCCAAACACAAGACCCATTGCTTTTGGATCTTGACATAGGACCATTCAACTTGGGTTCTAAGTAAGATCTAAAAACATAAGGTTCTAGCGTAGGATTCAAAAGTATTGAGTCTTGATGCAGGACCCAAGCTAAATGGGTCTTGATGCAGGACTTATTTGAAGGGTAAAGATATAAATTATTGTTTTTATTATTATTAATAAATGTAAAATAAAATATTATTACCACTAAAAAAAATCATATAATTGATTTGAAGGATAAAATTATTATTATTATTATTATTATTATTATTATTACTAGTAGTAGTAGTATTTGTTCTATAAATATTATTATTTATATTATAATTGAAGGTATTAATATTAAAAATAGTATTATTTGTGTTATAAATATTAATATTTCTATTATAGTTCAAAGTATTATTATTTGTGGTAAAAATATTATTATTTTTATTATTATTGAAGGTATTAATATTAAAAACATTATTATTTGTGGTATAAATATTATTATTTAACTTGTCTACTCTAATGTTTATATTTTTTAATCTTTTAAAAAAAATTATGGTTTTTCTTTGATAATAATAATAGTTTTTTAAAGTTTTCTAATGATGAAAATAATAATAATAATAATAATAATAATAATAATAATAATAATAATAATAATTTTTAATTTTACCTTTCAAATCAAATTTATGATTGTTTTTCAATATTAATTATAATGTTTCTCAAATTTATTAATTATTTTGTTAATAATATTAATTATAATTAAAATAATAATATTTATAAGGAAATAATAATATTTTTATTATAATATTTTTAATTATAATAAAAATAATAATATTTATAACACAAATGATAATATTTTTAATATTAATACTTACAATTATAATAAAAATAATAATATTTATAATACAAATGATACTATTTTTAATATTAATACTTTCAGTACTATTTTTCATGTTAATACTGTTAATTATAATAATTATAATAATATTTAAAATATAAATAATTATATTTAAAAATCTAAAACTTAAAAATCTTGGGTCTTAATGAAGGACCTAATAAAATTGAATCCTAACCCACGACTAATTAAGTATGGATCCTGACCCAAGATAATTGAATCTTGATGGAGGATTCATTATCCTTAAGTCCTAGCGCAAGACCTAAGCGAATTGGGTCCTAATGCAAAACTCATTTGGAGGGTAAAATATAAATTGTTGTTATTGTTGTTGTTGTTGTTGTTGTTATTATTATTATTATTATTATTATTAATAAATTTGAAATAAAATATTATTACCACCATAGAAAAACCATATAGTTGATTTAAAGGATAAAATTATTATTATTATTATTATTTATGCTATAAATATTATTATTTTTATTATAATTGAAGGTATTAATATGAAAAATAGTATTATTTGTGTCATAAATATTAATATTTCTATTATAGTTCAAAGTATTAATATAACAAATATTATTATTTTTGGTACAAAGATTATTATTTTTATTATCATTGAAAGTATTAATATTAAAAATACTATTATTTG